CCCCAGCGTTTACAGCTAGCAGGATTGGCGCGGTGTTAGTATTATTGTCACCTGTTTTCAGATACTGTAGACGCTCGTCCAACTTTTCGCGATCGCCATCATTATTCTCATTGTTGTTGGAGTTTGTTTATATTAGCATATCCGAAAAGAAATGCGTCTCATACTTCTTTTTGTGAACGAATTAGTCGAATGGAACACCATAATAATCAGCTCTTTGTGGTTCCCGAACTCATTGTGTTCTGTTGGCGATGCTATCGTATAGGCGATCTGGTGCCCTCGTAGCTGTTTCCGGCCAACCTTGCTCCATGCGAACTATTACCATCATCTTTTCGGTGCACTGGAACTCGGTTCGGCTGGATTGCCGAACAACCTCCTCGTGATGTCAGCTGGGTGGTTCGGGATTTTCCCGTTCCAGCAAATGGTTCGGCAGCAGTGTTCCAGGATATGGTGGGTTTTCTCCGGGCAAGCGTTCTCCCTATAAAAAGCCACATATGTCCGTTTAACAACACTGTGACGTGGCGGACGTGACTCGCCACTAAATAAAGTCACTGCCGCGTGCTTTATCCTGGCGAAGAATCGTATTCCAGCAATTTATGCTGTAATTTTGGGGAGCATTGACCCCAGTTTGACAAAGGAACAAACGAAAAGCGTATGAACTGAGCAATCAGTCATCGGCTCCCAGTGGGCGCGATCCTCTGAATTCGCTCCGCTGCCTTGCGGGCGGGCTAATCAGCCGAAGGCTCGGGGTGGTGTCCCCTAAGTCAACACCCTACTTCAGCTTGGGCAACCGGGTACTATCTCGCTCTCTGACGAAACCATGGACTTTGATGTTGCGTTGTGTTTTCTTTTACTAATTTTGTACCTTGTTTTGAGTCCCATGGTTTCTGATGGCTCTTGTCTATTCGTAAACTGTTGCTATATATATATATATATATATATATTCCAGGACAATATTCCACACTCGTTCGTACATTGGATTGAACAATTGGGTGTAGTGATCAACAATTATCCCAGGAGTCCAAGTAGTCTACAACCCTTCCTCGCTTTGGAATGCAGTTTGGAAATTCGGTGTTCAAGACCCAACAAACTTGGTTGCAAATTTCCTAACGTTGGCTCGTCCGTGTGTAAACTGAATAATCCCGGCAAGTCACTGACTAGTGATTAACATTCTGATATTGATGCTACATGTTCTGTTTCCTATATTAGTCAAAAGAATGAGTGTAGTTATATTTCACGCTGTATATCGTTCATACTGAAGTTAGTGTAAGTCAGCTATTATCGAGATAAGGTGTGGAAGAGCAAACGTCCATTCTGCAATTTAATTTAGAAATGACCAATCATCTAGACTGACTGAGAAGTAGACTAGTCCAACTGTGGCGTTACGGTAGTGTTTAAATAAATACTTCATTGGAAAACAA